TATTCATTTCTCCCATATTATATATTCTATTTGCCTTCTTTCTTCTTATCTTTTCTCCACATTCTCACTCGAATATCCTCATTTTCCTATTATTTCCTACTTTTTATCCTTTATTTTTTTCGTGTATTTCTCTTTCCCTCACTGGAATCCGATTATGTATTCCTTTTTATTCTATTTTCCTCTTTCTTCTTTTAAATATCTAAACCAGCTATTATTGCGCATTTCTTTATCGTCATTCATTCTTCAGAACCCAGAAAGTTTATTTTACATCATCAAGGCGGGAAAGCATAATCAATGAAGAACTACACCAAATACAATAAGCCAAGAGATTAAGAGTGGCCCAGTACAATTACACTCATTCTTACATCGAAATTTGCTATCCTAGTGAGGAGTTTCATCATTTAGTTGTTTTTTTATGTCTAAAATACATTCTTGTAGATGGGAGAGGTTGATGCAGGAAAAGGAAGTGGATATAGTGGCAGCAGTTTCCTTGCTTAAATAATCAAACGTATGATCTTGCAATTTTTTTGTGGTATTGTGTATCGTGTGTATGCAATGTCCAGGTCATGTAAAGGGCGGGAGTCCTTGTCAGACTCGATGGAAAATTCACTATCAGTCCTTTATCATTTCCAGTGACGTAGGCTGACCAAAGCTACTACTATTCAAGAACTACTGATAGTCTTGAAATCCTACTCAACTTGACTACTGCTTTATCTTCTCTTGCTCATCTTCCAGTTTCCCGGTCTCTCGGGTGGCGTTCGCATAGCCTCAGAAGACGGCATCCGCGGTCGACACGTGATTGCTGAGGCCGACTTTGCTCCCGGCGACGTGATCGTCAGCGAACCTGCCGGCGGCTTCTCCGCCTCTCCTGGCTTGTCGGACGCCCTAGGCGATCAGACGGACGGTAAATATTAACTTATTTTCAACCTACCTAGCAGTTATTGTTAAGGACCTATTGCTCTCTTCGGAACTCTGTTTACTTTAGCCCTCTGTAGGTGCTCCTTCTTGCCAGACGCCGAAAAGATGTACTATTTTCCGAGTTAAGATGGTCAAGTCTCCTTTGTTCAAATATAACTGAATTTATAAAGGACAGCTTAGTGAATTGGTGCTG